AGATCCTCACCATAAACCTTGACAGTTTAGCTCTAATCTTCTAATCATAGAGATGAAATTAAAATGGAATGCATTCTATCATAGATTAATGTGATTTTCAACTCTATAAATCCATAGTTTACTTCAAGAAGTTCATTCATCGTGTTTGTAATTTCATCATTATTTTGTGATACATAACATATTCACCATATCTGAATTCGAATTGAGAAATCTGACTGTTTTTTTAATGCATAATAATAATGTCTTTATTATTCTGTTCATCGAAGCTCATAGAACCAGGACTATTATGATTTATTAAATCAGAGAATTCTGTTCATTGTGACATTTTCTACTATCATAACATGAATAGATGTTTCCCTTAGTTGAATTGTTGCCTATTAGTATCAATGGTGAATAGAAAATCAGTTGATAGAATAACACAAAAATAGAAATGCTTAACTATGTCTGTGTATTCCACACATTTCACACCTGAAACACAATCACATATACTCACTCATTTAACTAGTTAATTTATGATCAAGATATAAAGTGTGTGAAAAAGACCGACATAATCTTTACAGTAAAACTATACTACACTGACGACATAAAGTGATTCTAAGAGTAGGCATGGAATTCAAGAACTAGATATTAACCAATTACAATCGATATTTCATTGTTAACATTAATGACTGACCTTAGTTAAACTACCATCAAAATATATGAAACACTGGACAGTTTATTCGTTTTAGAATGGGATGCTTCGGTAGTTCACATCTACAGGTCGATAGGAATCGCACCCAGGACCTGTAAGTGTTTAACCTTTGAATCATTGAGGAGGTATCTAGTAATTAACATGTTGAAATTCACCAGTTATTAGTGACTTAACAGATGAATGAAAACTAAATTCTGAAGCAACGATGGATAGTGGTTAGCAGTGGAATTTAGGACGTTCGTTTCGTCCTATTTGAGACTCGTCAGCTGGATGTACCTGCATCCCAGAATTGACGTTCACTCCGGGACTCGAACCCAGTACCACTCACTTAGCTACGGAGTCCTGACAGCCACTTGGTTCTGCAATAGGGTGAAGTTCTAAACATCAATGAGAAGATTCAAGTAAACAATACTAAGTGAATTTAAATATTGAAGGTCATAAACCAATCAACTGATAATGGCTATTCACTATCCCTATTTGTCCTCTCCATATACATGTTGGTGTTGAATTTCAATAAATCTGTGTTTTTATGAAGTGACTTACATTTACCTAATATTTTATGTGGATGATGTATTGAGAAAACTAAGATTGTCAGACCTACATGATATATTGGCGTAAAACTTTTCAAACACAATCTGACCGCACATATACCTGTCCCAGAGTGAACAACAACTCTGAGATGCATAGGACATAGGACGAAACGCGCGTCCTGGGTTCCACTACTAGTCACTATCCATCCTTGCTTATAATGCTTGTAAATTAAAGCAATATCGAGGCAATGCGCACAGTATGCACATATGCCAACATGAGACTGATCAATTTCAGTCCTAAACATCAATGGGAAGGTACAAGTAAAACAATGTTAAGTGAATCAAACTTGTTAAAAATATTTATTTATGAAATATAAAAGGTCAACACGGCAAATGAAAGATTAGGTGATTAACAAAGAGAAAGATAGATGTTTATCATCTGCTCTAAATGGGTCATCTGATTTAATTTGTTCCTGTAACTATTTTGGGTACATGTTCAAAGATCCTTGTCTATTTACCAGTTAGGACTGTGATGAAGCATATACCTTGTTTCTATAGCGATAATTAACAGCCACAAACAGCTGATTTAAGCTTTTGTTTAAACATAAGGTAGTTTGATTAACCTGTGAATGATAGAATGATCTGATGTGACGGGTGATTTCGGTGACAGAAATCTAATATATCTCAATACACTGTGACCTTTCCACTGACTCATAAATTTTCAAAGGATTACCATTTACTGTCAATGTTCTGTTTAGTAGCTTCACGTAATCCACAACAGTATGATTAGTACAAATACGGTCGATCCAAGATAGTCCATTAGTGAAAACTCCTTCATATTGAAGTTATTTATTTTATTTATATAAACACATAAACATTGGTATAAGGAGGCATCAAATACATATGCGCCACATGAATCATTCGATTTATGTGGGGGCTGGGATAGTACCCTGGTGCTCAGACCGAAGTAGGTTATTTTCCTATGGGGCCACACCCGGAGCCTTCGACCTAAAGGTCTAATCAACAAGGCAGTGGAGCAATGTCGAGACATGCAATCCCATGGTAGCCGATGACTAACAATAGGTTCATACTCCATTTGTTCCTTCAGGATACTGGAGCTCATGTGCACCTTTGGTTTGGAATCAGGATTTTCAAACTCCCCTAGGTAGATCCTCCATATCCACTAACCCGGCAAAGTCCCGTAAATTTGCTTTTCGTTCTCTCAATTTCGTAAACAACGTCCCTGGTGTGAGAAGGCAGTGAGTAGGACTTCCCTGTCAGTGACTGTATACGCGTGGCCACTTCGAGAGAGAGAGAGAGTTGACTCTCCCCACTCTCGACCATACCAGGGCATTTAGGGGCTAAAGTAGGAAAATATTGTGACTGAAGAGAGATAAAACGGTCAACCAGGAATTGTATTGTTACTTTTTGTAAAAGTCATTTAAATAGTAATGATCTCAAAAATGAATATATATGACATAGCATAAAATGCCAAACAGCAGAGTTTCCTATCGACTAGCTCCAACCGCTTAAAATGTTAACATAGTACATGAGATATCAGGTCACTTAGACTACTTATCACATTTTAACTTGATCGATAGAATTCAATCAGCACTGAGAAGGACATTACAGACATGAAATTGCTCACTGCTCAGTGATCAATCGACTGTTTTAATTTCTCTAACTTATTTCATGATTGTTTTTTTCATTTATATCCATTGTAAGAAATCAATTATCGACCTCTAATGTACACATATATTCAATGGTAGTACCACAGCAGAACATTACACGTAATCATAAACGAATTATAATGGAAAGATATTTTTTAATCTTGTCAGATCTCAAATGAACGAAACTGTCTTTTTCTCATTAAATGCAAACATAATAATTAGTTTCATTCAATGTATTGATAATAATCAAATTCTAATAGTTGAATCCATGGGTCGATGTAAGGTAAATCACCATTGAAAACGTGGAAGCACTGAACGAACGTTTCATCGTAGCATACGAGATTCCAATGCAGAACTTTCGGGCTCACGCGTAAGCGCCTAACCACTATATCACTAAGCTGGTCGGTATCCAACGGTGTTACCGTTTAACTTCAATCGATCCATACTCTTACGCAACTATTCATCCATTGTCTGAGGTAGATACCTGTCTCTATCCGACACGGATTAGACTCCAGTGCTTCCAGGTTGTTAGTGGTGGTCTAGGTTAAATCGACTCAAGTATTCAACTATTAAAACTACTACAATCTCCACAAATCCCCCATTCTGATCATTATAATTATATTATTAGCGTCCATACTTTGTGTGTAGTTTATATTCAAGTATGTAGTGAGTTACCAGTAACCTATTCTTGATTGAACCGCCCGAGTATCAAGGGACAACAGTTAGTTTACGACTGTCATGAGCTAATATTTATCAAAAATCCTAGTATTCTCATACATTGAAATTAAGACTTGCTTCGTGTTAATTAGACGAATGACAAAATAAATTGTATAATAGGATTGTTTAAACTATGTATCAGTATGAGTGAGAATCTAGTGCTAGAAAAGGTTTACCACTATCGATAGGTAGCTATAAATTGTTGATTATTAATTTAACTACATCTTCTTAAGTACGGATGTACTGAGTCAATTTTGTTCTACACTTCCTGTGTTATGACTATTGTTACTATATGCCTATCGTAACCGATCTAAATGAAGTACATATCAGGTCTTTGAATTTTTTCAACTTTCCCCTTGATCTGTAGTCATCATGTAACAAATGCAAAGAGGGAATTCTCTCTAATCACATTGGTTGTATCTTAAATATAAATTGTTTTCCTTGTCGTTCAGTTCAATGAAATGAATCATAAGTGTGTTTTTTGTTGTTGTTGTTGTTGTTGTTGTTGTCAAAATTGTTTACATATAAAATGATGTTTATTTGTCTGTCCGTCATTTGATCATTCTGTTCAACATTGTAAATATACAAGATGACTTAGTAACTACAATTTTGTGACATAATCAATAAGCTAATTCCTTAATCAATTTTTTTTAAATTGTTTCCATTGTCGTTTCATTATATGACAATTGGTGATTGTTTTTTCGTTCCCCATTCAAGAGCCAGGCCGGATAATGTTCCGAGATGCGTTTGGATAGTAATCGCTTTGTGCCAAGACTTAAAGATTTCCAACCGTAAACCAAGTAATTAGTCCAATTCAATATCCACATCAATGTTCAAAGTATATGTTGATGAGTAATTGTCTTTGATGGAGTTTTGTTCTCTGAGCTGGATGGTTTGGTCGTGGAGATAGAAGTGTTTATTAACCATTGTCAACACAAAATCCTTCAGGTCCGTTGGCCAGACACTATCAACAACAACCTATTATAGGAGAATAATCCAGATCCCAGCGGAGGAAGAAATCATGAATAGGCACTGGAAGTGGATAGGATACACATTGAGGAAAGCACCCAAATGTATCACATGGCGAGCCCTCACATGGAATCCTCAAAGCCAAAAGAGGAGAGGAGGAAGACTAAAGAACACATTACGCCGAGAAATGGAGATAAACATGAGAAAAACAAGTGAAAATTGAATGGAACTAGAAAGGAAGACCGAGAACAGAATGGATTGGAGAATGCTGGTCTGCGGCCTATGCTCCATTGGTAGAAACCAGCGTAACACACTTCACTCCTAGACATTACATTCATTTAAACAGATTGATTGTCACCACAAGCTGAAAACTGAAATCGGATTAAATCGCCTAAAAGAAAAAGAAGGAAAAGAAAAACTTGCCTTTTTTCTTTTGTATCAATAAAATATCGTAAAACTATTGGTATGATTGAATTAGATTCACATTGAATTGGTGCCCAAAAGGATGAAAATTCTCCATATTCATAATCATTAAACCGTATACTATCATTATTATTATCAAATAATTCTACATTCAATACAAATTGACTACATACAGAATTACGATCAGAGGAATCACTAGTACTACTACTAATACTACTATTATTACTATTAGTAGTAGTAGTATGATTATTGACATAAGCCATTAATATCCCATTGAAACAATAACCAATACCAATTAAATTGGATTTTTGATCATAATCATCATTCATAGTGATGAAATTATTGAATAATTTCAGATTATAAAATTCAATTGGTTGATTTAATTGTAATAAATGAAAGAAATAGACTTCTAATTGTTTCCTGGTATCATGATTGTTGTGGTTGTAGTTGTCGTGGTAGTGGTTGTTGCTATGCCAACGATTGAAATTTCTCATAATCTGCACAGATCTATATATATCATGCAAGAAATTTTGTGTTAAAGAGTTTTGTGTGATTAAATGATGAAATATTGGATAGAATGTTTCATTTAAATTATTCATTGTTGATGATCCTGATCCTTCTGCTGATGATGCTGACGACGCTCCTGTTCCTGCTCCTGCTGCTGATGGAATATCATTATAATGAGTAGTAGTAGTAGTAGTAGTACTATTATAAGTAGTACATAACGAATATTGTAATTGACGTGAATGAATTGTACATAGATTGAAATCATTTGTTGTTGTGGCATGAATCAAATTGACTAATTTCCGTGAAATTTTTTCTTCTTTCATCAGTAAATGACCATTGGATAAATCCATTAACATAATCATACACCAAATCATTATAATCGATAGAATGGTCCTAATCAAATCGGATCTCTTATGAAAATGTTGGATCATACTCATTTTGTTTTGTTTTTCAATTCGATGATGGAATCATTTAAGAAAAGAAAAAAAGTTACATTCACCAACCCCGCCCCCCTCAAAATAAAAAAAAAGAAAAGAAAATGAAAAAAAGAAAAGATCTATTTACATCTATGTAGAAACAAGAATAATTCTGATGATGATGATGATGATGATGATGATATTGTCGATAGTTTATCAATTATAATGTGTTATATCTATCCATTTTGAAGTAGAACATTCTATATAGATATAGGGATATATGTATCCTAATAATACTGGGTTTACTGTTTTGTTTTATAAACATTATGCCTAAATATAGATGTAAATATATAGATATAGATCTGGTAAATAGAACCTATAATAGTTGACTCTATATGTACATCTAATAAAAGCCAATGCTTGTATTTTCCACAGATATAGACATAGATAGATGGATATATATATGTGGATCAGTAACGGACTGACATACCTTACGGACGTACATACCTAAGCGTGTTCATCATCTAAGGGACAACTAAAATTTAGGTCTGATTTGTTTTGGCATAGTTTCCATGATTGGTCAAAGAGTTAAAATCTATTTTCCTAAATTGATGATTGGATATAGTTTATGTATAAAATGATAGTCAAATTAACGAATAGATTTCATTGGTAAATATAATCGGTTAATCAATTCACTAGACATTTGATTGAAAATTCTCTGAAAACTAAATGGTTTTAAGATAGTGGAGAAGATTTGTAACTCACTATTTACTTGTGCTCGTTATTCCTTATGGAGGAGCATAGGACGCCTAACAGCACTCTCCATCAAACGCTAATGCATAGGACATACATTGAAGAAATCACCAAACTGCATCATGAGGCAAGCCCTAACTTGGAAATCCTGAATGGAAGCGGAAAGTAGGAAGGCCAAATAACCAATTATGTTGGGAAATAGAAGCAGATACCAAAAGGATGAATAACAACTGAGAACAACTGGAAAGGATCTTCCAGGACAGAGTTGGATGGATAATGCTCCTTTATGAGGAGTAGCAGGCGGTGGAGGAGATTGGTATCCCAGATGTGTGTACAAACATAGAATCTAAAATCCAACCGATCGAAGATATAATCAAAATAAAAAAGCAAACAATGACAGGTTCAAGGTCAACAAGAACCAATCAGCATCGAGGTGTATAGGACAAGTCTTGAATCACATGTGAAGAAATTCGAACAATTCACTTCTACCTAAAGATTGTGCTGATGATGATGTTCAGAAGAACGATGAAAGTTACACGATCAAACTATGCAGCTCAGTGAAGAAAACACCATCAAAATAGTTTTTACCATCGAAATTAGAAATTAAAAAACAGTTTTTTGCCTCCTAGCAAAATAATAAGACTGAATATTTCTATTATCACTTAATTTTTATTCTATTGAATGTGTATTATGTATGTCATAAAGACAATGAACAATCAAATGAATGAATGAATGACTTAATGATCAAGAAACAGAACGTACACAGGATATTGGAAAGATCGAAAGAGAAAAAAAGTAAACAAAAGTCCGTAAACAACTGTCGTTTATATGCATATGTGCGTATTACTATTATTATAATTGTAGTGAACAGAAGACGGGTGTGGACAATCGAAATTGTTTTAGAGTTACGTGATAAAATAGAAAAACCATATAGTAAATCGTTACCTAGCGAAATATCTATCCATCATATCAAACCGGAGTGTTCCTGTTGCAATTATCAATCTATTGTCTCACATTTCATTTTTCATGCGTTTTCTTACAAATTGCATTGTGTTTCCGCTCTGTCTTTCTTGATATTCGCCCATCTTCTGCTGCCAGACATTTTGTTTTGAACTCGCGTCATATACTACTTACATCTATATAAGTAGCGCGCAACACACTATCACTATTATTATTATTATTATTATTATTATTATTATTATTATTATTATTATTATTATTAGTGACTAAACGTCATACAGCAATGACAGCGATCATAAATTGAAATGAATTAACCAATTGAAACATCTTACATGCTAATTGATCGATATACAGATCATTCTACTCATATAATAATATATCAATGGAATTAGGATCATTTTAAGAACATATATGTATATGATTCTTACAATTAGGATGGAGGGAATAGATGTATTTCTACAACATCTTTATACCATTATTTATTAGTATGATTAGGGTAAAATAATGAAGATCATAATGAGTCAAAGAAAAAAAATAGACTACTATGGAAAAGCTGGAAGCACTAAATGGCTGCTTTGTTCTGTTGTGGAACTCCTCAGCAGTGCGCATCCACGATCACGTTTCACGAGGTTCGAGCCCGAGACCTCGCGCGTGAACGCTTAACCTCCTAATACTAGTCAACATATGCTCACTGGTGACCTGCTTCAGTAGGTATTTCCTGGAGTTCTAGTGAAAAGCAGCGACCAGTGGAGTTCAACCGGGTCTGTTATGTTTGACACGCGTGTCGTCCTATTTAAGACTCGTCAGCTGGATGTACCTGCATCCCAGTGTTGATGTTCACTCAGGGACTCGAATCCTTGTCGTTTAGTATATATACTACTGCTGTCAGGTTTTCCATGGTATTCTGGCTCCAAATGACTTGTGAATTCAACCATTAATTTGCTATAATATCCACAAAATCCCTCTCCCATCACTTAGTATTGCTCACTTGAATGTTAGCATCGATGTTTAGAACGAAACGCGCTTCCCAGATTCCACTGCTAGCCACTATTCATCTTTCCCTAACTAAAAGACTATTTTCATCATAAAATGAATTTAATTAGTGGATCGTTTGCAGCAACTAAATAATATTAATTCATTGCTTTGATCTGATACTAAACTCTTCATCAGTAAACACTCATAAATGTACATAAGATGAAATTCAGAAACTTTATTTGTCTCAATTAATAGGCTAGTTTTAGGAATCCAAACAACATTTCAATGATCTTTACATTTATTTTCAGTCAATACACAATCTGGCATGAAATTCGTCTGATCCCATCAAATGTATCGTCCTTATTCTCAGCATGGTTGAGATCTGGAAATCACAGTGGAACTTCAGAAATTCATCTCGAAAAGATAATCGATAGCGTGCACATGACTACTGTTTATCAAGTCAATTAGTGAAAGTTGTGTCAGGGTTAAAAAACACATTGCAAACGCATATTGTAAACAGAGATATCAATAAGAGACCGATCAATCATAGTCGTAAACATCAATGGGAAGATCCAAACAACTAATACAGAACGGAATAACAACCAACTATTTTTTCAAAAAGTACTCTCCAAATATCAGTCAACTGTTACATCTAGATTGTTTTGTAGAAGTTTGAAAATATCAAAGAACTATTAACTAGTTGATTAGAATCAGTAGTAGTGGATTCCATAAACGTTATAAGAACGAATATACAATCTGCCAAATCTGTCAACCTTACACTTAAGCTGGTCAGATACATGTATTGTCAGGGTCCACATGACCAGAAACTTACACCCTTGACTAAATGATACTGGAATGATGAGAGTCTTTTAAACCTGACCTCTAATCATAACTCTTAAGAATAGCAACAACATTTCTTGATAAATCAGACAAGTTTTTTGGATATTATATAGTAATTTCAATGGTGAAGATCATGAGTCAGTTGAAGCTAGACCAACAGGGAAAACCTGGAAGCACTGGATGGCCGTTTCGTCCAATTGTGGGACTCCGCAGCAGTGTGCATCCACGACCTTACTCCCTGAGAGATCCCAACCCAGGACCTACTGGTTTCGCACGCGAGCACTTAACAACTAGACCACTGAGCAGGCCGGCATCCAACCATGTTAATTTCTAACTTCAACTAATTCACAAAATTGAGCGACACATCCACCATTGTCTTCAGTCAGTTAATATCTCACAACAGACCTGGTTGAACTGCACTGGTCACTGCTTCTCACTAGAACTCCAGTATATACATCTTGAAGCCAATGGATGCGCACTGCTGAGGAGTCCCACAATAGGACGAAACGGCCATCCAGTGCTTCCAGGTTTTCCATGGTGGTCTAGCTTCAACTGAATCATGATCTTAACCACTGAAATTTTCTTGATACTTCTTTTGTTTGTGTAAATCTTTTGGCCACATCAGTGTTTTAGTATAGGCTTTAAATAACTAAGAACTGAGAATGTGAAGTTGACTAGATGAAAATAAGTTTTAAATACGTGGACCAATGATGCACATTAATCAATAATTGACGATATTTCCATAGCCTTTAAGGGTATTTCACAGAGACAAGTGCATCGTGAATATAACACACGCTAAACAGAGCAACTATTTTAAACAAAATGCTTTATGACATATCATTACTACTGATTTTTAATAAAGTAGTTGATCTTCTTAGATAAAATTCTATGAAGTGGTGTTCACAAGTTGATTAGTCTTTGGTTATTACGTAGATTAAGTAATCACCGTTTATAGTTTCTGCGCAATACTATTTGAGATTAAGTTTGTTTTGAATACGATGGGATTAATAAATTTTCATTTTGCTTAATATCTTATTTTGGTTTTTGGTTGAGATCATGAATTAATTGATGTTAGACCACCGTTGGAAACCTGGAAGCACTGGACGGCCGTTTCGTCCTAGTATGGGACTCCTCAGCAGCGCGCATCCACGATCCCGCACCCCGCTGGATTCGAGCCCAGGACCTACTGGTTTCGCGCCTGAGCACTTAACCATTAGACCACTGAGCCGGCATCCAATGGTGTTATTGTTTAACATCAACCAATCCACGAAATTGCGCAACCAACTTCCATTGTACTGAGGTAGATACCTGTCTCTACCCGACACGGATTAGCTCCACTGGTCACGACTTCTCACTAGAACTCCGAGAATTCCCTCACGAAGCTAGTCACTAGTGAGCACATGTTAATTATCAGTATGGGGGGTTGTGGAGATTGTTAAGTTTCTGGTTGAGATCATGAATTAATTGATGTTAGACCACCGTTGGAAACCTGGAAGCACTGGACGGCCGTTTCGTCCTAGTATGGGACTCATCAGCAATGCGCATCCACGATCACGCTGGCGAGGTTTGAACCCACGGCTTTCAGACTTGCGCGCAATCGCTTAACCTTTAGACCACTGAACCGGCATCCAACGATGTTAGTGTCGAATTTCAACCAATCTACGAAGTTGCGCTACCATCTTCCATTGTACTGAGGTAAGCGCCTGCCTCTACCCGACACTGATTAGCTCCACTGTTCACGACTTCTCACTAGAACTTCGAGAATCCCCACACGAAGTCAATCACTGGTGAGTGCATGGGTTCGAATCCTTCGGGCGGGATCGTGACTGCGCACCGCTGAAGAGTCCCACAATACGACGGAACGGCCGTCCAGTGCTTACAGATTTTCAATGGTGGTCTAACATC